CTTATGTTTTCTATTGGTTTTGCTGTTGTTGTAATATTAGAAATTGTCATTGGCCTCGTCACTGCATTGAAAGTCACAGTGGAGTCGATACATGACTGGCAGTCATAAATTCCGCATGTGGCAAATACGTGTAAACTGCCAATTTTTATGTCAGCTTTATTTTCAGAGCTTACATATTTTTTACAATTATTTATGACTTATAGTCTTACAAAAGTATGCTCAGGTGCTCTAAAAAATAATGTGACAGTAAATTTCAAAGTAGTCTTGTGTAGTTTGTGTATTGGTGTGTACCTAAAATGTCAGCGTGGAGGCAAACGTCAAGGCTTTAAGAAACAAGTTTGTATTTCTAGAAGAGGGATGTGCATCCTGAGCAGCTAAAACAAGAATCTGTGTGCTCAGAATTACGTGTAGTAGAAGCGAAAGTACCTTGTATGTGTCGTTAATAATAAAATAGATAAAGAGATGAGTTTTAGAAGAAATAGGACTGTATTGAACTGGAGACCCCTACATTAACTAATAAACACAATTCGATTATTTCTTGCATCAATAAGTTTTTCAGTCTCTTTAAAAATTAAAAAAATATTGTAAATTACCAATTTTTTAACAATTTTTAATGAGGTGGTAACCATCCTGATACAAATTTTGAAAGAGATCTTACAAAATTTTTTTTTAATTTCTTACTCCGTAAATCGCATTTGTTTAAGCAATTTGACAACATAAAAAATTAAAATAGGTGGCAAACCTTTCCAAAATTATTCAAAATACTAAACTTTCTTACATTTGATATTCTGTTTTGGGTTTTTTTATTTCCTAAATTTCATGAATATAATAATTTGAAATATGTGGCAACTCGCATTAGAACATTTACCGATTCGCACCTTTTAAACTGCTGCGCCTATTCTCACTGACAATATTTATTTCTACTTTAAAAAGCCTTCAAATTCATTAAGCTCGGTGTCAATATTATTTATAGTAAGGAATATGAATAATTTTCAGTCAGGTGATAACCATCTTTAGTTGGATTACCGTAATATTTTATTTAGTTTACTAAATTGGTTAAATAATTTTTTTAAATAGATGGCAACTTTCTCTAGAAATATTTTTAACTTTGCAGCTACTTTAACTAATTTATTTTCTGATTCCCCTCACCACTTAATTCTATACCAATATTGTGAATTTTAATTGAATCATTAATTTCCAAACAGGTGGTAAACAATTTCGGAAATATAATAAACAAAAAATTTACTTTAATATTTTAACTTATGTTAGTTGACCTTGAACATATGTACTTCGTAACACCGAGCAAGCTCTTTTTTATCAATTTAATAGAATAGAAATTTTTTAAACTGCGGCAACCATTTTTAAAAAATAGCTTCTATTTAGCATGCTACTAAATCAATTTTATTTGATACTCGTGTACTCATATTAAAACATCGTTGCTTTGTTATATTTATAGACTAGAAAATTTTAAGCACGTGGCAACCCTACTCTGAATTGTTTTAGTTTATAGCTTTACAAAGCCATATCAGATTGACAACCACGTAGTGATGTGTTAATATCAGGTAAATTTATTTTGACTTACTATCTGCACAAAGCAAGAATCTGGCAACCATGTTAAGAAAATATTTTTATTTCAAAACAAAAAAAAAAAATTCAGTGTGATAACTATACTTTGAAATTTTTATTCCAATAAATTTTTTTCAACGGAGATTTTCAAAAAGGTGGCAGCTTTCCAAATTTTTTTTTTTATGTTCCATCTGGATATTAAACTGTTCAATCGAAAAATAATACCACAAGCGATGCCAACGTTCACCATACATAGTATTAGTTCACATATTTGAGGAGTGAAACAAATTCGTTGCATTACAAAGCAAAAATCGTCACAACAAAAATATCAAATACAAAAATACAAACCGAAATGATGGGAAGAGTGAGTTATATTGTCGATGTAGTTATATTCAGTTTAGTCTAAGTTTTTCAATATTTCAATATCCTCAATTCAAATTTTGCGCACACCAACGTTGCCACGTGTCTGCTGCAGCACCAAATTATTGCACATTCTCACTCTATGCCCCAGTTATTTCGTATTTTTCGAATTCTTCTAACTTGATACCCCAGCTAAGCATGAGCTCTGCACGTCCATCACGCCCTTACAAAGTTTGACTTTTATTGGCAGTTGCATAGTTCGGCGCGTTGTGACAGCTGACACAGAAGCGCCCACAGTGACATGAAAATTTGAACGCTTTGCAACACTCCCACACGACGCAGTTTATTCATGTGTATAGTATGTGGGGGTGTGTGTATTCTTTGCTTTCGTTGTTGTTTTGTGTCTGCGAAATCTGCTTTCCTGAAAGCATTATCCTTCAAGGTAAGCAAATCGATATAGTTGGCGCCGCAAAGACACGTTTTTGAATCATTTTTATTTCGGAACTTTTATCCAACTGCAAACAATGATAAGGAATTTCACTTTTACTTTGTAACTAAGCACACAATTCGGTTTTCTTTCTTTGCCCAGCTCTTCTTTATTGTATGAGCTTGTGTGGATGACCCTGAAATGCCAAACTTTCAGCACAACAAGTTTAAAGAAATTCTCCAAATAATTGTGTGTCTGCGGGTGCATGTGTTTAAGGATTCACTCATGTGCCTCATTGTTCTTATAATTGCGTGCTGCGATTGCATTTAATTACTTTAAGTGTGCGAGAATTAGATTGGCAAAGAATTTGTAGTGAATGAATTTTCTAATTGCTATTGAAATTGTTGTTGTTTTTTTTTTAATGTTAGAGCTACATTAGCTCAGCCTTGAAAATCATCAAATTACTTTGTATGCAGAGTAGCTCTCCGTGGGTTAGTCTAATGAATGGAAAAGTCCAGAAATGTGTTTCCGCTGCAATTATTTTAAATAGCTTACTATTTTATACAATATAGCAATTTACTGATTTTATTATACATAAAAGGTTCTAAGCTGCCAAATCTTGTTGTTTCTAAATAAATGTTTTTATTCTTTATATATATGTTTTTTTTTTTAAGTGTTAGCTTTATCTGTTTTTTTTTCTTAAAAATTTAAAGCTAATGTTAGCAAATTAGCATTGAACAGCCTTAAAAATCTTTTGAATCCTAGAAAATTATCTCTTTAATTTTTCGTTTGTATGATAAATTTATAGTTCAGCTATGGTGCACACTCCTAACTTAACGAGTACGCAAATAAAATATTTTTCGTACTAGGTTATTGGTCAAGGATAAATAATTTCTACAACAGTTGATAGCATTATTCGGTTAGTTGTTGGCAAAATCATGCTTCATATTTTCGCTAAATACCTGATGAATATATGATATTTTTTTCTTTATTTTAACATTTTCCTATAATTTCTAAGAATTCTCTATGCCAAACACGCTTGCATTATATTCCACTTTTATGTGGGATAATTTTCTCAACCACAGATGTTTACCTTTTTCTTATTTGTATAATCAAATAACAATTTACTTCTTAAATTCATATTTCTATATTTCTTTTTTACGTGACTCGCAGTACTTAATTAAAAAACAAATGTAACATATGATAATAACAACCCAAATATCCTCTGTGTGAGATGGTGCGTATGAGTAATTTATCAAATGTGATTGATATAAGGTAAATGCGCTTTTTGCGTCAATATTAACATTATTAAAGTCTTTATATATACAAACATACAATATGCAATAACAGTAACTCTCCATAAAACACGCTTTCACTATAAGCAATTTATTATGAATTGGTTAAGCCGATTTATCGGTATAAACTTAAGCGTATTTCTTAATGCATTTTTATTTGCATTGACTATTTTGTTAGCGTTAACATTAAAAAAAATAAAAAAAAATTTAGCTACATTATTTTGTTATGCTAATTTATCTGCCACATATTATTGCGCTACACTGCGTATGCGTACTATGGTGAAAATGCTGCGAATGTTCATTACTTTTCGATAAGGATGTTATGAAAAGCCATTTTGTAAAAACTTCTTGATTAAAATTAAATTTTAACAGAAATTAAGAGTGATTTTACGCTTTCGTGTTTACTGAAGTTGCTAATCCTATTGAAAAAAACTTACTTCGTAACTAAAATATTAAAAAAAAGGAAATTTTTTCTCAATAGTCATTTAGGTGGTCACCATTTACACAAAAATTGTCGAGGAAGACTTCCTCAACTTGCCCAGTTTGATGCCTGTATTTTAATTTTCATTTCTTTTATCATGTTTAAAGTTTGATAAAATTATTTGAGCACTTTCTGTCATTATCAAGAAAAAATGTAGTTAATTGTTGCAATAAATAAAAGCTTTTAATTTTTGTCGGAGAATATAAGCTCCTCAGTATTATAATCGCAGAATATAATAAATCTAAATTTTCAAAGTCAACGTTATGTTTTAAGCGCTTAAATTTATAGAACGCTGCCAGTAAAGTACCAATTAGCATCGTTCAAACGAAAATCAGGTAGGCGTAACCAGAACAGACGCCGATATTTAACCGGTTTTAAGGATAACCAACCAGACAGCTTTACTCAAAATTTTTTTAGGAATATTTTTGGTCGCTATAATAACAACTAAAAAATAAAAATAAACTTACAGCTTTCTCAAATCGGCTTATACTATCGCATCACACGACTTTAGATACTATAATTTCATTTGAAGTTTTAAATGAAAGCTAACGCATTTTAATTAAAATTAACTATTCACAAGTTTTTATAAAAATAAAAAATTCATATTATTAATAATGCTATAGAATTATTATATTTAAATTAATATTTCTACAATTTTTATAAGGAATAATAATGAAATTAGTTACAAAAATTTCAAATTAGACGATTGAAAAGTTTTGTCGGTCAGCAAACGGTTTAAGTCCTTCAACATAAAACCCTTTTGCTTCACAATTTAATACACCTGAAATTTTTAGATGTGTAAATGTGCCACTAAATAACAAATTCACATAATATTCATTGAAACTAGATTAATATCAAAGTTCCCACTCACCGTTATTTAGATTTGCCAAGCCGAACACTATCATCATAGTGATGCGCAGCAAGTTGTTGCCACATAGGCAACGCTGCGGAAACATGTTGACTGCTGATGTTTAATTTTATTTTAATTTCAAAAATATTTGCCGCTTTTACTGCCTCAACCGTGATTCGCTTCAACAAACTGAGCGTTGCAGCCACTCACAGCTTATTTCAATTAATTTATTTTCAAGGTTTTCAATTATTTGCAGCTTTTGTTGAACTTGCACTTCGACTTTCAGTTTCACTCGTGGATCGCAGCGCAAAACTTTTTCAACGTTTTAATTTACCGTTTTGTTTATCTAGTTCACTTGCAACTTTTTGGTTTACAATTCGCAGTTTCTTGTTGACATGGTTAGCGCAGCGGTCAAGCGTAACGCTTCACTCTTGTTTGGCAATGGTTAAAGCGATTTGCTTGTTTACATATTTTTTTGCGGCATTGACACTGTTCAAACTATTTGAATATTTTAGCATTTTTCATGTGCGCTATGAAATTTTAATGACAATAATTTTGAATTGTTTTTTTTTTTTTTTATTTTGCTTTTTGTATTACGAATGTCACTTTTATGATAACGACTATGTGGAGTTGCTCACACACGTCTACAGTTGTCCATATTTCAGCAGCAGCTGCTACATTTCAACGCTCTATTCATTTCTCTGCAAATATATGCACACACGCTCATTTTTAATGTGCTGTAACGGTATCTTGTGCGCTGCTTGGCAAGCGGTGAATTACTCGTGCAGCGCTGGCAGTTGCTGCACGCACACATACACATACGCAATAGTAGTTGGGCACGTTAGTAGACGTGTGCAAATGAGTTTTTTTTGGTTGTTGCAATTTTTCCGTTGTCACTTATTTGTGATGTTGTTGTTGCTGTTACTGTCAGTTTCAGTTTTAGAAAACGTTAAAATGTTGCATACACACTCGCAACAACAATTTTACAACAGCATATCACTGCTTCAACGACACAAACACACATACACTTGCAAAAATATTGTTTTATGCACATCTGCTAGTTCGTGTGTATGTATTATTTATTTACTTGATTTTTTTTTGTTGTTCGCTTGCCTCATTCAAATTTCATGCATCGAAATTATCGAGAATATTTTATTTATGCTAAGCGCGTTCTCGTTCACGTTTCCGTTATGCTGTCGCAGTCACTGGTACATGCACAGAATATACGCGGCGACAATTCGCAATGTCTATGGCAGCCCGACAATGTTGTTGTTATTGTTGTTGCAGCGACGCATAGTCATCGCAGTCAGCATCATTTCACTAGTTTTTGCCTGCCAAAGCATTTTCACAACTCACTGAACTAGATTTTTGTTTTCTGCTGTTTTTTATTGTTTCTATAATCGGCAAATTTTTCGTGCGTATTTTTTGTGCGGTTGCCTGCTGTTTGAATTCCCGAGCAATTGTGCATAGTTTTCAAACGTTTTATTTCGAATTGTCGCGCACTTTGGCTTTTGCTTCACTTTTTGCACGTTTTGGCGTTTAGTTTGCAATCGTTTTTAGTTTTAAATGTTTTACCTCACATTTACTTATTGTGATTTATTATTTGTCTTATATTTTTAATTTTTATTTATACAAATTATAATTGTTTTATTTCATATTTTGTATTTTATTTATTAATATTTTTTTTAAATTTTTTAAAAATATTTTTAGGTATATTTTTAAAAACTATTTTTTATTATATTAATTTTAGTAGTTTTTTTGTTCTTATTTTGTTTTACAATTTTTATTTTTTATTTAATTTTTGCATTTTTCAATATTTTTATATTAATTGAAAAAAATTTTTTTTTAGCAATTTGAATTTACACCCACCCACACTCATAAAAACACACAGCGACAGCTTGCATTTGCATCGCTGATAATCAGTCGAATTTTTCGCGCGCAATTTAACTCTATCTGACCTTTGGGAGTTCTCGTCAACTGTTTGCTTTTATTTCTTCATGTGTGCGTGTATATGCTGATTTTAGTTTGCTCGTTGCATACTTTATGGCGCAGTTGACACAGTTTTGCAATTTGCACAAAAATTTTCCATTTGCTGATTTGTTTTTCGTTGCAGCTTGTCAATTATTTTCGGTTACGCTTGGGAATCATTCGTTACTTATGTGCGTAATTTATTCAATGGCTTCAAATGTTTTGGAAAAAATCACCCACACTTTTTTTTGGAATGTTGCATCTGCATTAGAATAAAAGTAGAATTGATTAATTAAAATATGTTTTTTCTATGAAATATTTTTTCGAAAATGTTAATTTTAAATATTTTTCCCTGGAAAAAAGCGGCGGTTTTCATTGTAAGAGCTTTAACACGTTAATTAATTATGTGTGGAGAACTATGTACGCAGCAATGGTTACACTTTAAATGTATTTAACTCAAAAACTTTTTGTGATATCACCCTTAATAAGATCGCTCAAAAATAATTTAGTTGCTTTTTCGCCTGTTATAAAACTCTCAACTTATTATTTCTAAAAAAAATCTCCGGTAAAAAATTTCTTTGTTATTATTTCATAAACAATGGCTAATACCTAATTATCCATAATTTTATAAAAAGTTGACTTCCGCTATAACCTTTGAGAATCACAATTTTTTGTCCAGAATTCGAAAATAATGAATTGGTATCGTGATATGCCTTTAAGACAGAGCTTAACTATGATACTGAAAAAATCGAATACCCGACTCAAAACTTTGCTGAAACCGGATATAAATAAGATATATTGATTTAAGTCATCTAATTTTTTTACAAAAACTATGCCTTGGCTTAGCGCTGCATTCTCCAAAAATTATATGCTAATTTTGGTTAAAATAATGCTTTTAAATAACTTGGCTTCATATTTGTAATAGTCAGTGTAAAAAGTCTTACTTTAGATATATTACATTATTATCATGCGAGTGAATTCAAATAAAACTAAAAAATATATAAAATACAATTTTCACAACCTTTAATACATTCGCGATAAAATTTATTAATAAAAATACTACCTATGATTTCAATTTTTATTTGGAGAACTCAAAACTCAAACTAAGAGTACTTTACTTTTAACACCAAGCAGCCAGCTACTGAAATAGTTAATGCAAACCCGCTACACTTGAGCAAAAAATTAGCATTTCAGCCAATTCGCAAGCGCTTGGCATCCTGTAACTCAATTATATTTCAAATTTATGCTGAAGTCGCGCCTTTTATTCGAGACTACCGCCTACGAGTGTATGGCAAATATTTTGCTTTATTTTTTCTGCCTTTCAAATATGCAAACCATAACCATAAACATAAGGAGATTTGCGACACACACACATATACATATCTATGTGTATGTATGTATGAAAAGAAAATTCTTCGTTAGTAAGTGTATATATAATATAAATTTATGTGTAACTGTTAATATTCAAATAACCCGGTCAACTGCCACGCAGTGCCAGCTTACACGCTTCACTTTGGCAAAAATCCAATCTGCAAAGTACTTCAAGTAGAAATAACTGAAATATAGGAAAAAAACAGAACAGCAAATAAATTGGTAAGTTGAAGATCAGCAGCAGCAGCAGCAGGAGCAGCAGCAAAAACTTGAAAAGCAGAACACAAAGTATGAGATAGTGACAGTAGCAGACGCATAAATTTCTGCTGAGTAGTGGGCGAGTAAAAAAATGGGAGTAAAAATTTGCAAAAGCACATTGAATAAATAAATTGGCCACGCTAAGCTGGGAGTCGAAAGTATGAAACGAAAATGGCGCACAATAAACTTTAAGGAAGTGAAAGAGTAATTTCTTTTATGGAAATTACTAAATATATAAGAATTTTTTTAACAGTATTTTAATAATAATTGCATTACTAATCTTAGCTCGCTTTAGTTGTAAACATGTCGCCATTACAAACATTTTTAAATTCCAAGGGGTTCAAATCTAACGGTAGCTTAAAGTTAAATCCATCTGGCAACTAACAACACAAACTTTAGTAACAACACAGATCAGCTTTTAAATTACAAGAGAGCAAAAACTAAACATCTGAACTCAAGAACGACTGCGTAATATCAAAAGGTTACGTATACGCAGTGTACGAATTGGTGGCTAAGAAGTCGTACAACTCGGAGTGGGAGAAAGGCAAGTAGTAATGGCACAAAAGTGTGCTTTGTGATTTGACGCTGCTATCAAGTGACTTATAAACTTATTAACATTTTACCAGTGTCGCCCGTAACCCTACAGCAAATAAGCACAATATATATCTCACTTGATAATTGAAGTCCAAAGCAAACCACTGGCAAACAGAGCGACACACAAGAATAGAGATATGTAAAATTGTGTGACGGTGTAGGCAGCCTAATACATGTGACACAAAGTCCCAGCGGCCATTTCGCATTCGCTCACAAATGAGCATAGAGTATAGTTAAGATGTGGAGCGTAAAAAGACCTTTCTCTATCTGCCACCACAAATACGCACTTAAGATTGGGTACAAGGGATTAAAGGATGTGTGGAGAATGTTAGTTTAAGTTATCGCAGCATGAAAACCCAGCGGAGTAAGAGGTAATATGGAGTTCTTAATATAAATATGGAGGAAGAGTTGCAGTGGAGGCAAGTGCACAACGAAGAGTAGGTCGTTTATAAGAGTGATTATATGTATATAAAAGTATTTAATAGTTTTAAGTTTGTGGCGGATAATGTAAGTTTGAAAACTTACAGAATGGGAGCTTAATTTACCAATAATCTGTTGTATGGTGCAGAGATACTGTTATGAACTTGTTGTTATTTGCTTCGTTAAAAGTATTGAAATGATTAATGATTTATCGTAGGGACCTGCTTCAATAAAAGTTTCAGAATTTCCATTTTTCTATTTTAAGCTAGAATTATTTCAGATACATAGCCAAACTTTAAAACTCTTTTGGTAAAGGCACGGAGTAATTTTGGTATAAGATTCAATTGCATGAATAAAAATCACTTGCATGCTTTGCTTTTTCTTTTAATTTTAAATTTAAATAATAATTATTTAAGAAAGTTCGCAAGAGTAGAGAACGCAAATTTATTAATTAAGTTCTTAATTTTATACTACTGAACTCTTTTGGATTAAATCTAAATTGCAGTAAACAGAAGCGCTTAATTAATTTAATATATACTGTTCAATAAGCTTAATTTTCTGCTAATAACCTAAAGATTTAACGAAGTGATATAATACTGAATAACTTTTGAGGTAAAACTAAAATAAAAAGACAACGAATAAGTTATTTCGTTGCACCGTTGCTGTAATACCCTTCACAGGTGTATTTCTTCTAGTACAAAAGGGTAAAAGATATTTATTTTGATTTTAATCGTTCAGTTTATATAGGCAGCTATATGCTTGTAATCCGATCTGTACAATATTTTCGATTGTTAAATGGCACTAGACCATATTTATTTACGTTTCGTTAAGATAATTTCTCATAAAAAGTTTTCCATACAAGGACTCGATTTTAATCGTCAGTTTGTAAGGCAGATATATGCTAAGTAGTCCACTGAACAATTACTCCGCGATTGTGGCATTATCTTGTGCAATAATCTGCGCCAAATTCGTTAAGATTTTATGTCAAATATAAAGTTTTCCATAGTAAACTCGATTTCATTCATGCATATATTCAAATAATTGCATTTAACTTAAAAGGCCTTTCGTTTTCTTGAATCAAATTTCATAACGAGACTGTAATTCGAATCTTACAATATTATATATATATATATATATGTAAAATATCAATTTTCTATCAATAACTAGTTTCCTACTAGTCGCTAGCTCAAAACACGTTCGCTTTAAGCTCTAAAATTATTATTTTTAAGAGAAATTGCTTGACCAGCTTAACTACTATACTTTTTGAGTATTTCAGAAGCACATTTTATAATGAAAATATATATTTATGTAAATATATAAAATCAAATTTATTACAAACACTGAAATAATAAAAAAATAATTTAAGTAAAACCATTAAAAATCATATATAATATTAAATGCAGCTACAAAATTTAACAGAACTTTCAGTCAATTCCGCCATGCAACATACTCGAAATGACAACGAGTTTATTTGCCGTACTCTCTAAGTGATTGCCTCAAGGCAGCTGGCTCAGCATGCGTCTAAGAGCAAAGCAAATATCTCGGCAAATGAAAACAAAACAAAGTTGTCCATGTAAGTCGCAAATGCTGCGGAAATAGAGGAATGCAAAAATTATGTAGCAACAAAATAAATAGACGCAAATACACAAAAGTACGCCGCGACGTGTCGTACAAGCTACTTACATGTGGTATATGAAATATCACTCATACGCCATGGGTGCTGGCGTAACAGCAGCTTTAACTACATACACTGGTTAGAGCAGAGCAGTAGCTGTGTAAGAAATTAATATATGCAGCTGTATGTGTATATATGTTTACGCCGGAAATGCGTGAACATAAATGAGGCCTTACCAATCATTCAACCATATGTGTATGTGTGTGAAGGTAAAAATAAATAAGAAAATAAGCACACTCACTTGCGCATTCAGCAGCTCATTCGCGAACGAAATGACTTCCGCAGGATGCTGTCGATTTTTTCATGGCAGCTACTTATTTATGTTTGTGTGTGGCGTTGCTGCTGCTTCTTACGTGGTGTTGTTTTTATTTTACTTTATTTATGTTTTTTTTGTTTTGTTTTTCTAGACATATAAATTTTTTTTTTGAGATGAG